AAGCTTGGCCCCAGTGATGTACTGGGCCTACTGGGCCGTACACACTACCCTCTGTAGTGCCTTGCGGTCGGAGGCAGAGCAGTTCCCATACCAGGCGGTGATGCAACCAGTCAGGATGCTCTCGATGGTGCAGCTGTAGAACATTTTGAGGATCTGAGGACCCATGCCAAATCTTTTCAGTCTCCTGAGGGGGAATAGACTTTGTCGTGCCCTCTTCACAACTGTCTTGGTGTGTTTGGACCATGATAGTTTGTTGGTGATGTGGACACCAAGGAACTTTAAGCTTTCAACCCGCTCCACTACAGCCCCATTGATGTGAATGGGGGCGTCCTCGGCCATCCGATTCCTGTAGTCCACGATCAGCTCCTTTGTCTTGATCACGTTGAGGGAGAGGTTGTTATCCTTGCACCACACTGCCAGGTGTCTGACCTCCTCCCTATAGGCTGTCTCATCATCGTCAGTGATCAGGCCTACCACCGTTGTGTTGTCTGCAAACTTAATGATGGTGTTGGAGATACTTAGTGCTGTTCACTGGACCTTATGATCACTCAGCTACACAGCTAATGCCTGCTGGACTGTTCTTTTACGCAGTACCCCATCCTGTTTAGCTGTTTAGCCTCAGCCCAAACTTTCGTCGCCATTACCAGTTGTTGTCTTAGCCCTCTCGAATAACACCTGTGATTGCTTTATGCCTCTCTCCCATGTCAATATGCCTAGCCTATTGCTGTTCGGGTTAGTTCTTATTATACAATTTCACTGTAGAGCCCCAAGTTCAGCTCAACCAGCCTCAGATAGCTTCTTTGTCCCACCCCCATACATGCGGAGACTGGCTCAATCGGTACCTCCAGTGATGCTATCTCTTTCATAGTTACCCAATGCTTAGGTGTACCTCCACTGTACTCATATCCTTCCATATCCTTGTCTGTACATAATGCCCTGAATCTATTCTACAACGCCCGGAAATCTGCCCCTTTTCTTTGTACCCAACGCACTAGAAGACCAGTTCTTAAAGCCTTTAGCCGTATCCTTATTCTACTCCTCCTCTGTTCCTCTGGTGATGTAGAGGTTAACCCAGGCCCTGTAGCCCCCAGTATCACTCCTACTCCCCAGGAGCTATCATTTGTTGACTTCTGTAACCGTAAAAGCATTATTTTCTTTGCATATTAACATCAGAAGCCTCCTCCCTAAGTTTGAGTTATTCACTGCGTTAGCACACTCCGCTAACCCTGATGTTCTAGCAGTGTCTGAATCCTGGCTTAGGAAGGCCACCAAAAATTCAGAAATGTCCATCCCCAACTACAACATTTTCCATCTAGATAGAACTGCCAAAGGGGGTGGAGTTGCAATCTACTGTAGAGATAGCCTGCAGAGCTCTATCATACTATCCAGGTCTGTGCCCAAACAGTTTGAGCTTCTACTTCTAAAACTCCACCTTTCCAGAAATAAATCTCTCAATGTTGCCGCTTGCTACAGACCCCCCTCAGCCCCCAGTTGTGCCCTGGACACCATATGTGAATTGCTTGCCCCCCATCTATCCTCAGAGTTCGTACTGCTTGGTGACCTAAACTGGGATATGCTTAACACCCCGGCCGTCCTATAATCTAAACTAGATGCCCTCAATCTCACACAAATAATCAAGGAACCTACCAGGTACAACCCTAAATCCGTAAACATGGGCATCCTCATAGATATCATCCTGACTAATTTACCCTCTAAATACACCTACGCTGTCTTCAACCAGGATCTCAGCGATCACTGCCTCATTGCCTGGGTCCGTATTGGGTCCGCGGTCAAACGACCACCCCTCATCACTGTCGAACGCTCCCTAAAACACTTCAGCGAGCAGGCCTTTCTAATTGACCTGGCTCGGGTATCCTGGATGGATATTGACCTCATTCCGTCAGTAGAGGATGCCTGGATGTTCTTCAAAAGTGCTTTCCTCTCCATCTTAAATAAGCATGCCCCATTAAAAACTAAGAACAGATATAGCCCCTGGTTCACCCCAGACTTTACTGCCCTTGACCAGCACAAAAACATCCTGTAGCGTACTGCATTAGCATCAAACAGCCCCCGCGATATGCAACCTTTCAGGGAACTCAGGAACCAATATACACAATCAGTTAGGAAAGCAAAGGCTAGCTTTTTCAAACAGAAATTTGCGTCCTTTAGCACTAACTCCAAAAAGTTTTGGGACACTGTAAAGCACCTACTCCCAGCTGCCCACTGCACTGAGGCTAGGAAACACTGTCACCACCGATAAATCTACGATAATTGAGAATTCCCCCCCCGCTTCTCCTTCACCCAAATTCAGATAACTGATGTCCTGAAAGAGCTGCAAAATCTGGACCCTTACAAATCATCTGGGCTAGACAATCTGGACACTTTCTAAAATTAGCCGCTGAAATTGTCGCAACCCCTATTACTAGCCTGTTCAAACTCTCTTTCGTAACGTCTGAGATCTCCAGAGATTGGAAAGCTGCCGTGGTCATCCCCCTCTTCAAAGGTTACAGACCTATATCCATCCTGCCCTGCCTTTCGCAAGTATTTGAAAGCCAAGTTAACAAACAGATCACCGACCATTTCGAATCCCACCGTACCATCTCCGCTATGCAATCTGGTTTCCGAGCTGGTCATGGGTGCACCTCAGCCACGCTCAAGGTCCTAAAGGATATTATAAATGCGATCGAGAAAAGACAGTACTGTGCAGCCGTCTTCATCGATCTGGCCAAGGCTTTTGACTGCTGCTGGTGACACTCAGATCCACCTCTACGCAGATGACACCATTTTGTATACATCTGGCCCTTCATTGGACACTGTGTTAACAAACCTCCAAACGAGCTTCAATGCCATACAACACTCCTTCCGTTGCCTCCAACTGCTCTTTAACGCTAGTAAAACTAAATGCATGCTCTTCAATCGAACGCTGCTTGCACCCGCCCGCCCGACTAGAATCACTACTCTCGGCGGGTCTGACTTAGAATATGTGGACAACTACAAATACCTAGGTGTCTGGTTAGACCGTAAACTCTCCTTCCAGACTCACATTAAGCATCTCCAATCCAAAGTTAAATCTAGAATCGGCTTCCTATTTCGCAACAACGCCTCCTTCACTCATGCTGCCAAACATGCCCTCGTAAAACTGACTATCCTACCGATCCTTGACTTCAGCGATGTCATTTACAAAATAGCTTCCAACACTCTACTTAGCAAATTGGATGTAGTCTATCATAGTGCCATCCGTTTTGTCACCAAAGCCCCATATACTACCCACCATTGTGACCTGTACGCTCTCGTTGGCTGGCCCTCACTACATATTCGTTGCCAAACCCACTGGCTCCAAGTCATCTATAAATCACTTCTAGGCAAATCCCCGCCTTATCTTAGCTCATTGGTCACCATAGCAGCACCCACCCGTAGTCTGCGCTCCAGCAGGTATATCTCACTGGTCAACCCCAAAGCCAACACCTCCTTTGGCCGCCATTCCTTCCAGTTCTCTGCTGCCAATGACTGGAACGAACTGCAAAAATCTCTGAAGCTGGAGACACTTATCTCCCTCACTAACTTTAAGCATCAGTTGTCAGAGCAGTTTACCGATCACTGCACCTGTACACAGCCCATCTGAAATTAGCCCAGCCAACTACCTCATCCCCATATTGTTATTTATTTTGCTTATTTGCACCCCAGTATCTCTATTTGCACATCATCTTCTACACATCTATCACTCCAGTGTTAATACTAAATTGTAATTATTTTGCACTATGGCCTATTTATTGCCTTACCTCCATAACTTACTACATTTGCACACACTGTATATATATTTTCTGTTGTATTTTTGACTTTATGTTTTGTTTATTCCATATGTAACCCTGTGTTGTTGTTTTTTTTTTTTTATCGCACTGCTTTGCTTTATCTTGGCCAGGTTGCAGTTGTAACTGAGAACTTGTTCTCAACTGGCTTACCTGGTTAAATAAAGGTGAAATAAAAAATATAATAAAAAACAATTGTTGAGGGGGGTGCACGGTGCAGCGGGAAGCTTGGTGGTCCGAAGTTGAGGAAGTTCGGCTGTGAGGCGGTCTCCTGTTGGGGACCGAGGGCAGGGTCTGGCGGCCAGCTGAAGGCGGACCGTACAGGTGGGTAGAGGGACTGATGTTGTCGCCCGGTTGTTTGATGTTGTCAATCACTTATTTGTTATCGGATTCTCCAGGACCAGAGCGGGCTCCTGGGGCCGGACAGTCCAGTCCAAACTGTTTGCCAGACTGAGCGGATCCTCCAAGGCAGGAAAGGACCAGCCAGGTCGCAGTGCCTCTCACCCTGTCACCTAGCAACGCTGGCCCAGTCTCACCAAGCCAGCTGCTCCACCACCCTGGTCGAGAGATGTTCATTTAGCCTGGGCTATAGCTACATTGGTGTGTGTGTGTGTGTGTGTGTGTGTGTGTGTGTGTGTGTGTGTGTGTGTGTGTGTGTGTGTGTGTGTGTGTGTGTGTGTGTGTGTGTGTGTGTGTGTGTGTGTGTGTGTGTGTGTGTGTGTGTGTGTGTGTGTGTGTGTGTGTGTGTGTGTGTGTGTGTGTCAGCAGTGGGTTATCAACACTGCGGTTGACCTGACAAACACACAGATACAGTACATCCAGTATGAGAGCAGAGCTGGATCCAGACAATATCCCTTCTATTTGTTACAGTTATCCTGCTAACATCATTTAGCCTACTGTTTATCAGGAGGACAATGGAGGAGGTTAGAAACACACTCACACGTAAACACACTCATGTATTCCACTCAGCACACACACACACCAGGGTGAACAAGCGGAGGAAAAGTGAGTCAAGTGCTTCTTTCATGCTCCTTTTTCAGCAGGTGCAAGTCTGCTTCCCTCCTTCCCCCTTCCACTTCTCTCTATCCCTCACTCTGCGAGGAGTGTGTCTGATGGCGTGTGTGTGTGTGTGTGTGTTGGTGTGTGTAGTGTGAGGTAGATTTGGGGTGACAGCAGCGGAGCATCCTCCAGTCACCCCCTATAAAAGGCTGGGTTCTGATCAAAGCTGTGCAGCTCGGCGGAGAGGTGGGAAGGCTCCAACGGTGTGTCTCCCTGTCTCCGCATCTCGCAGCGTCTCTCAGCGTCTCGCAGAGTGGAAATGGTTTGAAGCTTCATTGAGCTCCGTTTTGCCTTGACAGTAAAACATTGGTTTTATTTCCCTGCCTGCCTGCTCCCTGTGACAACTAGGCTGTATGACAAACCAATCAACACACACACAAAAGTGGAGGCTCCTCAGAGCAGAAAGGGGAGGACCATCCTCAGTGAATTTCTTTTTCTTTTATAGTGAAACATTAAAAGATTATCCTTTTTAGATAAAACTATACTAAATATATTCACGTCACCAAATAGCTGAAAAAAACACTGTTTTGCAATGAAGGTCTACAGTAGCCTCAACAGCACTCTGTAGGGTAGCACCATGGTGTAGCCGGAGGACAGCTATTTTCCATCCTCCTCTGGGTACATTGACTTCAACACAAAACCTAGGAGGCTCATGGTTCTCACCCCCTTCCATAGACTTACACAGTAATTATGACGACATCCTGAGGAAGTCCTCCAACCTATCAGAGCTCTTGCAGCATGAACTGCCATGTTGTCCAACCAATCAAAGGATCAGAGAATGAATCTAGTAATTCATTCAAAAATTATGGAGAAGCAGCAGAGAGAGAGAGAGAGAGAGAGAGAGAGAGAGTAGAGAGAGAGAGAGAAGAGAGATGAGAAGAGAGAGAGAGAGAGAGAGAGACAGAGACGAGAGAGAGATGAGAGAGACCGAGAGAGAGAGAGATAGAGAGAAGAGGATAGAGACAGAGAGAGAGAGAGAGAGAGAGCTCTCTCTTCTCTCTCTCTCTTCTCTCTCTCTTCTCTCTCGCTCGTCTTTCTCTACTTTCTTTTTTTTATTTTTTTCTTCTTCTTAGTTTACCTAGCAGGTGACCGGCAGGTGCGGCAGATGGTCTCCTGTACAAGGTCTCCTGTAGCTCAGTTGGTAGAGCATGGTGCTTGCAACGCCAGGGTTGTGGGTTCGTTTCCCACGGGGGGCCAGTATGAAAAATGTATGCACTCACTAACTGTAAGTTGCTCTGGACAAGAGTGTCTGCTAAATGACGAAAATGTAATGCAGCAGGTGCAATTAGGTGAATTGCAAGTGTGGAAGGTGACCGGCAGGTATGGCTAGTGACCGGTAGGTGACCGGCGTATTGAACATAGATAGATATTATTTGGCAGGTGCGGCTAGTGACCGGTAGGTGACCTGCCGGTGTGGCAGATCTGGCAGGTGACCGACATAGTGAACAAAAATATATATTCCTTTGCAGATGCAGCATAAATAATAATAATAATATGCCATTTAGCAGACGCTTTTATCCAAAGCGACTTACAGTCATGCGTGCATACATTTTTTTTTGTGTATGGGTGGTCCCGGGGATCGAACCCACTACCTTGGCGTTACAAGCGCCGTGCTCTACCAGCTGAGCTACAGAGGACCACCAGCATCTTTGCGGCTAGTGAACGGTAGTGACCAGCAGGTGACTGGCAGATGATATACTTTTTTTAAATATATATATACACATTTGCAAACATTTCTAAAAACCTGTTTTTGCTTTGTCATTATGGGGTATTGTGTGTAGATTGATGAGGGGAAAAAAACAATTTTATCAATTTTCTCTTTGTCATTTTCTGTTTTGCAAACAATATATATAGATGTTTTGTTCTATTGTGAAATGTGTTTTATAGGGTCATCCATAGTATTACGGCACCCTGGAGCTAATTAGGGTTTATAGGGTCATCCATAGTATTACGGCACCCTGGAGCTAATTAGGGTTTATAGGGTCATCCATAGTATTACGGCACCCTGGAGCTAATTAGGGTTTATAGGGTCATCCATAGTGTTACGGCACCCTGGAGCTAATTAGGGTTTATAGGGTCATCCACAGTGTTACGGCACCCTGGAGCTAATTAGGGTTTATAGGGTCATCCATAGTGATACGGCACCCTGGAGCTAATTAGGGTTTATAGGGTCATCCATAGTGTTACGGCACCCTGGAGCTAATTAGGGTTTATAGGGTCATCCATAGTGTTACGGCACCCTGGAGCTAATTAGGGTTTATAGGGTCATCCATAGTGTTACGGCACCCTGGAGCTAATTAGGGTTTATAGGGTCATCCACAGTGTTACGGCACCCTGGAGCTAATTAGGGTTTATAGGGTCATCCATAGTGTTACGGCACCCTGGAGCTAATTAGGGTTTATAGGGTCATCCATAGTGTTACGGCACCCTGGAGCTAATTAGGGTTTATAGGGTCATCCATAGTGTTACGGCACCCTGGAGCTAATTAGGGTTTATAGGGTCATCCATAGTGTTACGGCACCCCTGGAGCTAATTAGGGTTTATAGGGTCATCCATAGTGATACGGCACCCTGGAGCTAATTAGGGTTTATAGGGTCATCCATAGTGTTACGGCACCCTGGAGCTAATTAGGGTTTATAGGGTCATCCATAGTGTTACGGCACCCTGGAGCTAATTAGGGTTTATAGGGTCATCCATAGTGTTACGGCACCCTGGAGCTAATTAGGGTTTATAGGGTCATCCACAGTGTTACGGCACCCTGGAGCTAATTAGGGTTTATAGGGTCATCCATAGTGTTACGGCACCCTGGAGCTAATTAGGGTTTATAGGGTCATCCATAGTGATACGGCACCCTGGAGCTAATTAGGGTTTATAGGGTCATCCATAGTGTTACGGCACCCTGGAGCTAATTAGGGTTTATAGGGTCATCCATAGTGATACGGCACCCTGGAGCTAATTAGGGTTTATAGGGTCATCCATAGTGTTACGGCACCCCTGGAGCTAATTAGGGTTAAGTGCCTTGCTCAAAGGTACCGACACATTTTTCACCTTGTTGGGTTGGGTATTCGAACTAGCAAACTTTTGGTTACGTGGTCCAACGCTCTAATCGCTAGTTTACCTGCCATACTCTCTAACGGTCATTTAAATATATCAACATTACAAAAAATTGTGAAGTAGAGAGGAGTTTGCAGCACGTAGTAAAAACATAATGAACCCATCATATATATAAGAATGAAAAACAGTATATAGAGCAATAGTTACACAGCACTCATTACTACTACAGCTTATAGACAAAGGAGATAGCATCTGGAATGAAATACAGTTTAGACCTGTTCGTTTTAACCTTGGGGAGCCTTTATCTGTGCTCGGAGGGAAGCATCATGAATTCAACAAATAAGGACTGCTGGGAGTCTTTCAGAATAGATTGTGAGTATGACTCATGTCTGATACAGGTGAGAATGATGTTAGAATCAAAACTAAGAACACATTAGCATTGAGAACAGTCCAGTGGGAAAAACAGGCGCACTGGAACCAAAAAGGCACACAGGGAAAATAACCCGGCAAATACAAAATACAAGGAGCTCCACCGAGCTTCACTATCCTCACAATAAACAATCACACACAAAGACAAGGGGGCAGAGGGAACACGTATACAGGTACTGATGAGGGGATATGAACCAGGACAAGGGGGCAGAGGGAACACTTATACAGGTACTGATGAGGGGATATGAACCAGGACAAGGGGGCAGAGGGAACACTTATACAGGTACTGATGAGGGGATATGAACCAGGTGTGTGTAATAAACAAGACAAAACAAATGGAATGATGAGATGAGGAGCGGCAGTGGCTAGAAGGCCGGTGACGACGAACGCCGAAGCCCGCCCGAACAGGGAGAGGAGGCAGCTTCGGAGGAAGTCGTGACACAGAAAGTTTAAACAACGTTAGATTTCACACTGCAGCGCATGGACGAATACAATATTTAAATGCATTAAAAGTTACAGCTGCAATATGTAACTTTTTGGGGTGACCCGACCAAATTCACATTAAAATGTGAGTTATAGATCTGTCATTCTCATTGAAAGCAAGTCTAAGAAGCTGTAGATCTGTTCTATGTGAGCTATTTCTATGCTTCCCGTTCTTCAGTTTAGTTTTTGCATCTTTTGCTTTCGGTTTTGTACACCAGATTCAAAACAACTAAAAATAAAAAAAATTTGAGTTACCAAAAATATATTTCACAGCAGTTTAGATGGTACAATGATTTCTACACTATAATTGCTTGTTTTGTCACAAACTGAAATTAGGCTAACTATTAGGATTTTAGTAACCAGGAAATTGCGGAGCGATTTCTCCATAGTGCACCTTTAACATAAATACTTTGGCATAAAACTAAGATCTATTTATTGAACAAAAAAAATCGGAAGTTTACATACACCTTTAGCCAAAAACATTTAAACTCGTTTTTTCACAATTCCTGACATTTAATCCTAGTAAAAATTCCCTGTCTTAAGTCAGTTAGGATCACCACTTTATTTTAAGAATGTGAAATGTCAGAATAATAGTAGAGAGAATTATTTATTTCAGCTTTTATTTCTTTCATCACATTCCCAGTGGGTCAGAAGTTTACATACACTCAATTAGTATTTGGTAGTGTAGTGTCTGAAGGTCTATGATTTTGCTGACATTTGCAAATGGTGTAATAGATGAACTTTACTCTGCTTTGCTGAAACATCTGGAAAGCATTACTACATAGGCTTCTTGGAATAGAGGACATTTGGAGATATGTGGAGGCCAGGGATTGGTCTGTCAAAAACCACCCATCTTATGTTACATAGGATATAAATACCATGTTTTGAACAAAGGACGGGGAGAAATAACATTTCAGAGATTGGGTCCGGTTATTCTCCAGATATCTGCAGATGTCTGTAAATTGACGCTGAACTCTTTTGATACAATAAACCTTTATGATCAAAGTACAGTGTCCACGGATTCCTTGTTCTCACAGCATAATCAGCATTGTTGTCTCTGACACTACAGAATGGTGACGAGGATTTGGGACGTGTTGCGTCTTTTCTCAGCGTTCCATTCATGAGCTACGAAGTGACTCCCGCTCAAGACGCCGGCAGATAAGGTGAGATTTCTCACAGCTTTGGCCGCTGGTCGGTTCGTGTGCTTGTGTGTGTGTGTGCGTTGAGGAGATGTACCGTCAAAGGACTGTTATTTGCTGTGTGATGAGAATCCGTTCTAAATTTCTAAATTTGTTTGCGTTGGGAACAACGCAAACGGGGGAGTGTCTATAGGAATTGTTAACACTGGGCACACGGATATTTGGCTTGAATAAAATTAAAAGGAGTGTCCAGGAATAGCATGAAGGAATAAGGCCAGGAAATAAGGAAAAAGTATACTTTTAGGACGTCGCTGATTTAAGGAAGCCCTCAAACGAGGCGATCATTAAGATGGGCCATAAATCCTAGGAGAGTCACTAGGTTGACTTTCGGGTCAGTTCTGGGAACTGTGAGTTTGTGGAAGATACATTCAATTGCACGTTACCTCTCGGAATATAGTTGACGAAGTATATGTTCGAAGTAACCTCTCATTGAATATCTGCAACTCGAGGTAGCAGAAATGTAGGAAGGAACAATGAGAAATAAGGAGCGATGGTAGCATGCTTAGTGTATTGTCTGAACGGATGCATTCTTGTTTGAATATGTGTGTGTGTGTGTGAAAGAGAGCCTATGCGTGTGTGTAAAAGGGGAGGTCTCTGCTGTGTGTCGACTCATGCTATGATAAGATTTATGTTAGAGATATATACATATATATGTTTTGGTTGAGAACAGGGGTTTTAGTTTTTTGTAAGGAAATATGTAAGTTAAAGTTAAAATCTTATGAGTCTCCGTTGGTGAGAACGTTAATAATTGTTATATATGAGCCACCTGTAAGGACATTAAGGTTAAAAATCTTAGAAGGCTCTATAAAAAGAGAACGTTTACCAACTATTAGAAAATCATGAGCCTACAGGGAGGAGTTTTTAAGAGTGTATAGAGATGTTTTGTAATTGATAAGAAAATAACTATAAATCTGCAGATTAGAATAAGTGAAGATAAGAAACTTCGAAGTAGGATTTGTGTTCTATGTTCTGTGTTGGTTTGTGAGTTTTGTTAAGTGTTACTGTTTGTCTGTGTTGGAAATGGAGGGACAGCTGCTCTGTCTGCTTTTTGTTGTTTAGCTTGGAGAGAGCTGCTTTGGAGAGCTCCTTTCACTCTGAAATCGCATTGGTGAATGAACTACGCATGCGTGTGATTTTATGAGCTTAGAGTTACGTAGAGCAAATATGCCACTCCCCTGCCTGCACTGAGCTGCTGGGAGACGCAGACTCAGAGCAGACAGAGAGGGAGGGGGAGACTTAAACACTAATAGAGTGTTCTGTTTGTTAAATCGGCTGTTGCTTAACGATGAAACTATTTGATTGAGATCTATTGAATTGATAAATGAGAGATATGTTGGATTAAAAAATAAAAATAATAAAATAAATAAATAAAATAAAATGTTATTGCGCTATTTATAATATTCCTGAGTTAAGCTGTTTGCTTATTTCTTAGCGCGAATGTGAACATAGGTATGCATGAAATACTAAATTGTTGTCTGTTTCTTTTGTTCTTCTGTCACGTGAGAGACGAGAAGGAGGAGACAGAGGAGGTGCTGACAAGTGCGTCACGCGACAGTGTGTGCTGCGACGGATCCAATCCAATTAAGGCCAGTACTGTTCTATCCACAAACCTACTTTCCCTTACAGGATATAATAGATACATTGTGTATGCATAGAATATTTCATGTTGTGACCATTTCACAGGAACTTGGCAACAGACTGATGAATTGATGTAATTGAGAATTGCACATTAGGGTTTTTGTGAATGAGTTGTTTTGATTAGAGTTGTGTTGGAAATCCACTGACATTATTCTGTAAAATTAAGGTAATTGGGTGCTTATTAAGCAATTGGTTTGTGAGTGCTGTAGTGTTGCTGGATTACAGGTCTTTCTTTTTTGGATTGCTCTGAAGTTGACTACTTTCCTTTACTTTTCCTGATCGGATGTGCTAAGATTGCCACTAATCAATAATTTGGTAAAATAAAATAAATGGATATATTGATTAATTAATTAATTGATTGATTGATTGATTGATTATAAATAAATAAAAATAAAAAAAGGAGGGAAACATATTAAAGAGTCGTTACAATGGGGAAAAAGGACATCAAAACTACAAAAGTAATTACTCCTGTTGATGTAGTACAAAACAGTAATCCTCTAGTTAATGGTATTGCAAGGTTATCTGGAAAATGGAATAAACGTTGGCCTGACATTGAACAACCATGGCCAGTGGAAGGGACTCTTAACCCAGACGTCATCAAGATAATGCAAGTGCTTGTATCCACGTATAAGGCAGATCAAAAGAAGGGGAAAAAAGGGGAACAACGTAAAGAAAAGAGACAAAGAGAGCTGGGTGTTCTTAAGCTGTTTGAAAATGAAGGACAAAAACTGATAAAAGATACAAAAGATAAAAGAGACAGAGGTATAGAGAAAATGGCAAAAGAGGCGAAGGTAACAGAAAAACTAATGGCAGAAGTCAATACACCTTTCTCACATATGGATTCAGCAAAAAGACCCCCACCTTACGAGGAAGAAGTAGAGTTTAAGGACGTCTATCCTCAGCTTCCAGTGATCATTCAGGAGCGTGATTATTGCATCAGAGATGAAGATGAACGAATAATAGAGAGAGGACAAGCAGAAACGACCATAAAGATGAATCCCAACTCCAAAAGTAAGAAGAAAACGAGATGTCTGGAAACTAAGGGTGGAGTGAGGTTCAGGAGGATGGAACTTGAAGATGATGATGATGATGATCAGAGTGATTCAGAAGAGATCATGGGTGGATATGACCCTGTGGTCAGACAGAGGTTGGCCAGAGCGGAAAGAAGGGGTGATGGAAGTTGAAGGAAGAAGAAGGATACTAGAGATTTGATCTCTGATGAAAGTGAAGATGGAGAAAGCAATGAAGATTTGTAGATTAAAGGTGCTTTATGTTAAAGAGGATTTTATCCTACAATGTTTAGCACAGAAGAAATAGAAAGAGATATAGACCGATGCGTATTATGCCTGGATAAAGGGAATCATTTAGAAGAAGTAAGAGAACTGGAAGAACAACTCAAGAAGCTGAAGATACAGAAGAGAAGAAAAACTGCTGAGAAAAGGATCCCAAGAATTGGAGAAGAAGTATACATTGAGGCCAAGGAAAGAGGGCACAAGTAAGAAGATGATGCCAGATTATATTTAGAGGACAGAACCTAGAATATAAGCCTTTGAAGAATACCGATATGTCAGATATACTTGAAGCTGCCTACTCTTCAAGATGGAGCATATCCTTGGATTTCAAAATTGGAAGAAATTATGGTGGGAACATAGTCTGCCATAGGAGACATTAAGAGACTTTTGGCTAATCTCCTTGGGATTCCAGGTATGGAAGAAATTTTTCAGAGAGCTGGACTTCATCGATATGTGGGGACTGCGGTGAATGATCCTGAATTGTTAGCTGCAAGTAGAAATCGGCTGTGGAGAGCACTGAAAGATATGTTTCCAACAAATGTGCATCCTGACAACATTCTGATTGACCCACTAGGACAACAAGAAAATCTGAGAGCCTATGTGTCAAGAGTTCATCAAGGGATAAATATTACTGGAAATGATCCAGATGTGAGTCAAATTGAGCAGTCAATTTTGAGAGCTAAACTGCAGAGTAAACTGCCCTCACCAGTAAGGAGCAAACTGGCAGAGGTGGTTGGACTTGGAAGCATGATAAAAGGCGTCTATACAGATCATATAGCCCATCAAGTGGATCTGTACAGGAAAAAGGAACACAACCAGAAAGAACAGGACCAAGAAACTCTCAGAAAACTCAATCAAATAAAACTGGTGGAGAATAAGAAGGAGAAGAAACAGGCTTTGGTTATGCAGAATCAGTGTGCACCAAATCAACAATCACTGCCACAGCTTCAACCGAACCAGTTCCAACCGCAATTGTACCAGCCACCAATAGCCGTACCAGTTGTTTCATATCCACAGCCAGTTTCTGAACAGACACAGAATTGGAGAGGAAGAGGACGAGGAGGAAGATTTAAGCCATACTTCCAGCAATCTTCAGAAGTGTGTTATAATTGTGGACAGGTTGGTCACTTTGCCTGTGAGTGTAATGGGCCAGGAGGAAACACCAGAGGGAATTTCAGAGGAAGATACAGGGGCCAGTCAAGATCATCTGGAGGACCGGTAAACCCTTATAGGGGCCCGGAGCAAGGATTCTAGAGGTGCCCAGAAGATCCGAAAGGGGGGTGTCAGCTGGTAGCATCAGGACCGGAAAAAGATCCAACAATTGAGGTGAAAGTAAACAAACGACCATTGGAAGTGATGGCGGATAGCGGAGCTGCTTTTACCTGTGTTCGGCCTGAAGATGCTACACATCTCACTATGTCCAATCAACTAATTAGGACAATCGGATTTGAGGGAGTGAAACAGCTGATTCCTCTTACGGAACCAATTGAGCTCTGCTATGAAAATCAGAAAATTACAATACCCATACTGGTATCAGAACATACACCTATCGCATTGTTGGGAAGAGATGCATTGTGTAAATTGAACTGTACAATAAAATGTACACCAGACGGCTGTCTGGTAGAAGTGCCAAAGGAAAAGGTTTACCAATTGTTGATGACGACAGAGATGGATTCTTCTTCAGTATTCTGGATTGGAAATCTCAGTGAAGATATTTTGAAGCAGGCTAAGGTATGGGAGAAATTCATTGTGACAAACATGCCAGATGCGAGGCTTCCGGAATATCCATTTCATTGTACGCTCAAGTATTTCAAGAATGCTGCCCAATCGGACTCAGAGGAATGGTTGAGTCATCAACCAAAGAAAGTTCAACTTAGCTCATGTTGCAAGGGGGGAGGTTAGGAGAAAGATCACAAAGGAGTATGGTCTTTGGGCACCATATTTGCTTGAACAGGTTGACTATGTCATAGGCAGGTGCACAATCTGTCTGAAAAATAATGTTTGCAGGGGTGTGACTGTTATTCTTGGTTACATTCCTACACCAAGAGGTGCACAATATGTCCAACTAAGCTAAAATATGCTCAATCGGTTGCCAAGTTCTTGTGTAAAGAAGTCATAAGCAGGTGGGGATTTCCCGATTTAATATCCTCAGAAAATGGGAAAGAGTTTTGTGGATAAATCAGTGAAATGGTTTTTGAAAAAATTGGGAAAAAAAGTCAGACTAAAATGTTATGAAAACTAGGGTTGAAATAACTCTAGGAAATGTTGAATATCTGATTGTGGGATAATTATAATATTGTGATATTTAGTGTTTTGTTATGAATCAAAGGGGGGAAATGGGATGTGATTCATTTTATATATAATTTTTATATTATTGTTGATATTGATGTTTTAATTTGCATGTGTTGTTTTGCAAAAGATACTGGTTGGTGTTTTCTTTTCTTCCAGAAGTATATGGGGATGTGTAGAGTGGGATTCAAATACTCAAACATGGACAATATGAATGGACTGGAGGAAGTGGAACAAGGACGGTGTGGAAATGTTCAGATTCCATCATCGACGTTGCATTGAAAGTCGACACTGTGGAGGAGCTGCAGTGTAGTGGACTACATTCCAGTGTTATATTCTTTCTGTATTAATTTTTTGAATAATTATGTTTTCTGTTGTTGGGTACATGTGGGGACCTCAGATGTTTTTGTTTATTTCGTTGAAGCTTAGGGATATTGGGTCTAGGCAGGGACAGAGAGAATCCACAGGAGGGTCCGATGGGTCGACCAGCCTGAATGTGGACATTTTTGATTGTATTTTGTTTGCTGAGGTTTTCATGTGTATTCAATTGCATCATAGCTTAAATTGCATTGATAAAGATTTATGAATTGATCTGGAGTACTTAGGTGGTCGCCTGGGGCAGAGGGGCCGTGAGAGAATTTTCCTGTCTTGATTGATTGATGGATATTTGGAATGAAAACTGCCAGACAGGTTTTTCGCTCTTACACTCCATAACAATTTATTTACATTCCATGCAAAAATGTGTCTATATAAACATGTGTTTACTCTCCATAAATGTTGGTTTATTGCGGAAGTTACTTAAGAACAAAAATGGTTATTTGTCATAATCCTATTCTTTTTGTTTTCGAGACTTAATTAGTCTCGAAGGGGGGAAATATGTAGTGTCTGAAGGTCTATGATTTTGCTGACATTTGCAAATGGTGTAATAGATGAACTTTACTCTGCTTTGCTGAAACATCTGGAAAGCATTACTACATAGGCTTCTTGGAAGAGGACATTTTGAGATATGTGGAGGCCAGGGATTGGTCTGTCAAAAACCACCCATCTTATGTTACATAGGATATAAATACCATGTTTTGAACAAAGGACGGGGAGAAATAACATATCAGAGATTGGGTCCGGTTATTCTCCAGATATCTGCAGATGTCTGTAAATTGACGCTGAACTCTTTTGATACAATAAACCTTTATGATCAAAGTACAGCGTCCACGGATTCCTTGTTCTCACAGCATAATCAGCATTGTTGTCTCGGACACTACAGTAGCATTGCCTTTAAATTGTTTAATTTGGGTCAAACGTTTCGGGTAGCCTTCCACAAGCTTCCCACAATAAGTTGGATGAATTTTGCTCGCACACGCTTTTTCAGTTCTGCCTACACATTTTCTATAGGATTGAGGTCAGGGCTTTGTGATGGCCACTCCAATACCTTGACTTTGTTGTCCTTAAGCCATTTTGCCACAACTTTGGAAGCATGCTTGGGTTCATTGTCCATTTGGAAGATCCATTTGCGACCAAGCTTTAACTTCCTGACTGATGTCTTGAGATGTTGCTTCAATATATCCACATAATTTTCCTTCCTCATGATGCCATCTATTTTGTGAAGTGCACCAGTCCCTCCTGCAGCAAAGCACCCCCACAGCATGATGCTGCCACCCCCGTGCTTCACGGTTGGGATAGTGTTCTTTGGCTTGCAAGCACCCCCTTTTCCCTCCAAACACAACGATGGTCATTATGGCCAAACAGTTCTATTTTTGTTTCATCAGACCAGAGGCCATTTCTCCAAAAAGTACGATCTTTGTGCAGTTGCAAACCGTAGTCTGGCTTTTTTATGGTGGTTTTGGAGCAGTGGCTTCTTCCTTGCTGAGCGGCATTTCATGTTGAAAAACAGGTTTTAATGACTCCAACGTAAGTGTATGTAAACTTCTGACTTCAACTGTACATATGAGATGGGTAATGCAAGATATGTAAACATTATTAAAGTGTCATTATTAAAGTGACTATTGTTCCATTTATTAAAGTGGCCAGTGATTTTCAAATCTGAATGTAGGCAGCAGCCTCTCTGTGCTAGTGATGGCTATTTAACAGTCTGATGGCCTTGAGATAGAAGCTGTTTTTCAGTCTCTCGGACACAGCTTTGATGCACCTGTACTGACCTCGCCTTCTGGATGATAGCGGGGTGAACAGGCCGTGGCTCGGGTGGTTGATGTCCTTGATGATATTTTTGGCCTTCCTGTGACATCGGGTGCTGTAGGTGTCCTGGAGGGCAGGTAGTTTGCCCCCGGTGATGCGTTGTGCAGACCGCACCACCCTCTGGAGAGCCTTGCGTTTGTGGGCGGTGCAGTTGCCGTACCAGGCGGTGATACAGCCCGACAGGATGCTCTCAATAGGGAGGCAAGTCAGTTAAGAACAAATTCTTATTTACAATGACGGCCTACACCGGCCAAACCCGAATGACGCTGTGCCAATTGTACGCCGCCCTATGGGACTCCCAATCACGGCCGGTTGTGATACAGCCTGGAATCGAACCAGGGGGTCTGTAGTGACGCCTCAAGCCCTGAGATACAGTGCCTTAGACCGCTGCGCCACTCGGGAGCCCAGAATACCTGATACCATTAGAACAGGTGTGACTCCAAACACCCAGAAAAGGCTACTCTCCTTGACGTTATCCTTCCAAATAATCCTGATAGGTATCAGTCTGGTGTTTTCTGTAATTACCATTGTGATCAATGTTTTACAGCCTGTGTTCGTAATGGCTGCTCAGTTAAACGACCTGTCCTGATTTGTCATAGACGCTTGCTGAAAAACTTTAATGAGCAAGCCTTCTTCATGACCTGGCCTCTAAATTGGTATAGAATCTGCTTGATCCCCTCTGTCGAAGATGCTTGGACCTTCTTTTTTTATATTTTCAGTGGTATTGTTAACAGGTTCAGCCCCTGGTTCGACCATGATCTGGCAGAGTTACTCCACCTCAAGAACACCATTTGGCGAAACGCTCGGCACACAAATATTCAGGCTGACTGGCTACCGTTCAGGCAAATGATAAATAAGTGCACTCAGGCTATCTGGAAGGCCAAAGTTAGTTACTTTAAGGAGCAGTTCTCTCTCTGTGGGTCGAACCCCAAGAAGTTCTGGAAAACGGTGAAAGACCTGGAGAATAAACCCTCCTCCTCACAGCTGCCCATGTCCCTTAATGTTGATGATGTGGTTGTTACTGACAAGGAGCACATGGCTGAGCTCTTTAATCACCACTTCATTAAGTCAGGATTCCTATTTGACTCAGCCATGCCTCCTTGCCCGTCCAATGCTTCCTCATCTCTCAGCCCTCCTCCCCCCACCGGTGAGATTACTACCTCTGAGGGTTTAGAGATTCAGGTAGTCACCTCATACAAGTACCTGGGAGTATGGCTAGACAGTACACTGTCCTTCTCTCAGCACATATCAAAGCTGCAGGCTGAGGTTAAATCTAGACTTGGTTTCCTCTATCGTAATCGCTCCTCTTTCACCCCAGCTGCCAAACTAACCCTGATTCAGATGACCATCCTACCCATGCTAGATTACGGAGACGTAATTTATAGATCGGCAGGTAAGGGTGCTCTCGAGGGGCTAGATGTTCTTTACCATTCGGCCATCAGATTTGCCACCAATGCTTCTTATAGGACACATCACTGCACTCTATACTCCTCTGTAAACTGGCCATAATAATAATAATAATAATAATAATAATAATAATACTCTGCAAACCCAGAGGTTGATGCTTATTTAAAAAAACCTCTTAGGCCACTCCCCCCTACCTGAGATACAGTGCCTTCGGAAAGTATTCAGACCCCTTGACTTTTTCCACATTTTGTTACGTTAGAGACTTATTCTAAAATTGATTAAATTGTTTTTTTCCCCTCATCAATCTACACACAATACCCCATAATGACAAAGCAAAAACAGGTTTTTAGACATTCTTGCAAAAAAATTACAAGAATAAACTGAAATATTACATTTACATAAGTATTCAGACCCTTTACTCAGTACATTGTTGAAGCACCTTTGGCAGCGATTACAGCCTTGAGTCTTCTTGGGTATGACGCTACAAGCTTGGCACACCTGTATTTGGGGAGTTTCTCCCATTCTTCTCCGCAGATCCTCTCAAGCTCTGTCAGGTTGGATGGGGAGCATCGCTGCACAGCTATTTTCAGGTCTCTTCAGAGATGTTCGATCGGGTTCATGTCTGGGCTCTGGCTGGGCCACTCAAGGACATTCAGAGACTTGTCCCGAAGCCACTCCTGCGTTGTCTTGGCTGTGTGCTTAGGGTCGTTGTCCTGTTGGAAGAACCTTCGCCCCAGTCTGAGGTCCTGAGCGCTCTGGAGCTGGTTTTCATCAAGGATCTCTCTGTACTTTGCTCCGTTCATCTTTCCCTCGATCCTGACTAGTCTCCCAGTCCCTGACGCTGAAAAACATCCCCACAGCATGATGCTGCCACCACGCTTCACCGTAGGGATGGTGCCAGGTTTCCTCCAGATGTGACGCTTGGCATTCAGGCCAAAGAGTTCAATCTTGGTTTCATCAGACCAGAGAATCTTGTTTCTCATGGTCAGAGTCCTTTAGGTGCCTTTTGGCAAACTCCAAGCGGCTGTCATGTGCCTTTTACTGAGGAGTGACTTCCGTCTGGCCACTCTACCAATCCTGTGGTCTCGGAGCTCTACAACAATTCCTTTGACCTCATGGCTTGGTTTTTGCTCTGACATGCACTGTCAACTGTGGGACCTTATATAGACAGGTGTGTGCCTTTCCAAATCATGTCCAATCAATTGAATTTACCACAGGTGGACTCAATTAAGATGTTTCTACATCTCAAGGATGATCAATGAAAACAAGATGCACCTGAGCTCAATTTCGAGTCTCATAGCAAAGGGTCTGAATACTTATGTAAATAAGGTATTCCTGGTTTTTATTTTCTTATACATTTGCAAAAATGCCTAAAACCCGGTTTTCGCTTCATCATTATGGGGTATTGTGTGTAGATTGATGAGGGGAAAAAAATGTTTTAATCAATTTTAGAATAAGGCTGTAACGTAACAAAATGTGGAAAAAGTCAAGGGGTCTGAATACTTTACGAATGAACCAAAATATAAAATGCAGCATGCAACAATTTCAAATATATTACTGAGTTACAGTTCACATAATGAAATCAGTCAAATTTAAATACATTCATTAGGCCCTAATCTATGGATTTCACATGACTGGGCAGGGGAGGAGCCAGGCGTGGGCCTGGGAGGGCATAGGCCCAGCCACTGGGGAGCCAGGTCCACCCAATCAGAATGAGTTTTTCCCCACAAAAGGGTTTTATTACAGACAGATATACTCCTCAGTTACTTGAAGCATACATTCTGATTGGTCAGACCAACGTTGAACAGTCCTTTCCACGGGTGCTTCCTGTTGAAGTTTCTGCCTATAGGAGGGAGGAGCAGAATGGAGGCGTGATCTAATTTGTCGACGGGAGGGCAGGGGAGGGCCTTGTAGCCATCCCAGACAGGAGAGTAACAATGAGTTGATTACGCACGCGAAGGAGATGTGTTGATAGCCATTCCTCATTCTACAGGTCAACATAATTACAGTACTAAATATTTATCTCTGAAGAAAATGTTGCTTCAGGTGTCAGACTTTTTCATGGTAATGGAGGTTACAATTTCAGAAACACAGAAAATAAATTAGAAATCTATTATAGGAAGATGTAGGCTAGTTCTTTAGTTTTTTATTAAATCAGTCATTGTAATAATAAGACATTAATTTGTAAGAAAACAAAAAGAGAGTATAAACATCAGCATCATATTGATCTGAATGATCGGATCAAGGTGCATCTCAATAGTCTAAAATGGCTTCTTCTCCTCCATCTGCACTGATACGAACACAGCTGATGGCATCACGGTGGACAACTACCTACTAAGGATTTCCTTTCATGAGAGGAAATGAGAGGAGGCCACAGACTATTGAAATACCCCCACTATGTTACATTACTGTCTGTGTGAATATGGTACTGCAGCGCTGCACCCTAACATCAAGGCAACCTTCAAAACTCTGATATAATTTACACACCCACTCTCCTCCACACAAACACATGCCCTAACCCAACAAGGCAAAGTGGTGTTAGTATGTACAGTCTGATAATGTGGGTGTTTTTCCTCTGTGTGTCTCTAATTGGTGGGTTCTCTCCGGTTGTGTGTGTGTGTGTGTGTGTGTGTGTGTGTGTGTGTGTAGTCTTCTCCTGTGTTCAACACAGACTGCATCATCATCATCATCTCAGTCCTCCCAGAATCCTCTGTTCTACTGAGGGTATGCTTCGATCACCATCGCATGGCCCTGAAACACACACACAGGTAAGATGACTTTACTGTTGATTATATTTCATTAGCTGGTAGTGTGGAGAGTTACCTGTCCACCCGCAGCGCATGCAGCCACCAGACCATACTGGCCCCCCTCCTTCTGCAGGCGGTGTGCTACCGTGGTTACCAGGCGGCAGCCGGTGGCTCCGAACGGATGACCAAGAGACAGACTGCCCCCCCACAGGTTAAACTTCTCCATGGCAGGGGCCCCCACCTAAACACACACACACACATACACAAAAACAGTCAGCAGAGTTAGGGAAAGGAACATCTCTGGTGGACAGACTACGGAAACAAATGGTACGGTAGATCTGTCACGATTTCGCAGGTGTTAGCATCTTTCGACTTTCGGAAGGGGAGGGGACAGTCAGCCCCTAACGGCTAGAACTGGAGCTGGCTACTCTGGAACTAGCTACTCTGGAGCTGGCTACTCTGGAACTCTGGAGCTAGCTACTCTGGAACTAGCTACTCTGGAACTAGCTACTCTGGAGCTGGCTACTCTGGAGCTGGCTACTCTGGAGCTGGCTACTCTGGAACTCTGGAGCTAGCTACTCTGGAACTAGCTACTCTGGAACTAGCTACTCTGGAACTTTGGCAACTACGCATTTTTTAAACCTCCCGCTTTGGGCTGGACGTGTCAATATGTCATTCATATATGCATAATCATTGAGCAAAATTACTGTTTTACCTCAATTAGCCACCAAATCCCTAGTTTGAAAGCGACTCATCTTGAAGCGGTGGCACACCATTTTCCCTTTAAGTATTTCACTGTAAGGTTCACAACGGTTGTATTCCGCGCATGTGACAAACATTTGATTTGAGTGACAGCTAGCAAGATGAACACACAGCAGAGAGAGAAAGCAATGCCGTGCTGCACAGATATATCGTAGTACGTCATTATCAGGACCGATTGGGCTTTTGAGTGCTACCTTCAGACTATAAAGTCTAACACACATGGACCCTGAAGTTAATCGACATTATACTTTAGTTCTGGGTTAACAGAGATTAGAATCAGTTGGGCTGATCAATGTGGAGTACTATATACAGGAAGTATATAGTACTCCACAATATTATTATAGTTCATATATTACCTTAGCCTTCCGTCCCATGTAGGTCTGAGCAAACCAGTCTGAATCCAACGCTTTCAGGTTAGCCATTATCTGGCCCTGTTAAAACACACACACATCACTGTTACAATAGATAGAGGCAGTGAACTCTTCCTCAACATCACATCAATATGTTGTCAAAACTAAACATCTAAATCCAATCCAGTTGTATTTATCACATGCGCTGAATACAACTGGTGTAGACTTTACAGCGAAATGCTTGCTTACGAACCTTTCCCAACGATTCAGAGTTAAAAAATATGAATACAAAAAAAGATATTGTAACACAAGAGGAATAATATAAAATACACAAGATGGACTAACATCAAGTACCAGTACCAGATAATGTGAGCTATATACCGGGAGACCAGTACCCGTCATGTGGATTCCAGGGAAATACCCAAACATGTGAGCTATATACAGGCGAGTAAGGGAGAACCATACCAGACATGTGGAGCTTATCAGGGGAAAACCCACGATCAAAGGGAGCTTAACGGGAGTAAGTCCCGATCAAGTGGAGATATAAGGGAAACAGTACCAGATAATGTGGAGCTATATAAGGGGGGAAAAAAAAGGGCAGAAAAAACCCAAAAGCAAACTTTTTGTTTAAAAAAAAACAAAAAAAGTGAAAAAAAAAAAGTAAAAAAGGAAGATAAGAAACCCCCCAATTTTTAAAGTTTAGGGAAACCTTCCCCGTCAATTTAAAAAGGGGAAACCAAAGTTTCAATTAATTTAAATGGGGGTTAAGAAAGAAATTTCCGTCAATGTGGGGGACTTTAAAAATAAAATCAATTTTTTAAAGCTTATACCAGGATTTCCAAAAACCAAAAATCCAATTTTGGAGATTACGCAAAAAACAACCTTTTCAAGTAAGATAATTTTCAAAAAAAGTTTGAAAACCCAAAAAAAAAATCCAAAGTGGATAACGGGGAATACCAGTACCAGAAATGTGGCTTTACCGGGGAGAAAAGTCCCAGAAATTGGGTAACAGGGAAAGGAAGGGTAAAAAAATCAAGTGGGCAAAAAGGGAAAGACCAGTCCCAGATCAATGTGGAGTATATACAGGGAAAAGCCATTTCCAATCATGTGGAGCTATTACGGGGGAGAAACCAGTACCAATCAATGGGGAGCTATAACAGGAAGAAGACCAATCAATGGGGAGTTTTAAGGGGGGACCAAGTACCAGATCAATGTGGACATAACAGAGCCCCGTACCAGATCAATGTGGGCATTTTACAGGAAGTACCAACAATGTGGAGTATTACGGGGAGTACCAGACCAGATCAATGTGGAGCTATATACGGGGAAAGTCCCCAATACCAGATCAATGTGGAGCTATTACGGGAGTACCATACCAGATCAATTGGACATATCAAATACCAAAATCAATTGGAGTATTAAGGATTCCCCATACCAGAAAAAATGTGGACTATATCAGGAAATTACCAAACCCAGATCAATGTATATATAAAGGGACCCCAAATACCAATCAATTTGGGTTTAACGGGGGAAGTAAGTACCAACAATTGGATTTACATATACCGACCAATCAATTTTACTATAACAGAATCCCGCCAATCAATGTAGTTATATACAGGGAAGTACCAGCCCCAAAAAAGTGGAGCATAACGGGGAGTACCAGTACAAGATAATGGGAGAAAAAAATAATAAAAACCAAAAACCAGTCAATGTGGAGTTATACAGGGAGTACCAGTACCAGATCAAGTGGACTAATACAGGGGATACCAGAACCAGATCAATGTGGACTATAAATAAAAAGGGAAAAAGGTAATTTGGGGGAAAAACAAAGTACCGATCAATGTGGAGATTACGGGGAAGTCCCAGAACCAGTCAATGTGGACTAGAAAGAAAAACCCGCTTTGTAGAAAAACGGGGACCAGATAAAGTGGAGCTTATAAGGGAGGAACCAGATCAAGTGAGATATACGGGGGATTTTAAACCAAAAACCAATAAATTGGAGCTAATACGGGGAAAAAAAAGTCTAGAAAAAGGGAGACCAGACCAATTTGGGGGCTATATACAGGGAGTCCCATTTTACCAGACAATGTGGAGTTTTAACGGGGAGTACCGAAAAAGATAAATGTGGAGCTATATACAGGGAGTACCATACCAGATAAATTTGGGGAGTATAAAAGGGGAGTCCCAAAAGATAATGGGAGCTATATAAAAGGGGAAAACCATTTCCCAGATCATGTGGAGTAATACAGGGGGGGCCCAAAAAAACCAGTCAATGTGGAGTATATAAGGGGTCCCAGTCCCAATAAATGGGGGAGAATACGGGGAAGTACCAGCCCAGATCAAGGGGGAGCTTATACGGGGAGACCGCCCAGATAAATGTGGAGTAATCCGGGGAGTACCAGACCAAATAAATGGGGACTATATAACCCCCAGGGGGAGTTAAACAAAAGCCAAAACCAGATCATTGGGGGAATATACGGGGGAAAAACAGTCCCAGATAAAGGGGGGAGAATACAGGAAAAAAACCAAAAATCAATTTTGGAAAGCTAAACAGGGGAAAAAAATAAGTGGAGTAACCGGGGAAAAAACCCCAACAATGTGGAGGAATATAAGGGGGAAAGAGTAACCCAGATCAATTGGAGTATAAAGGAAGTACCAGAACAGTTAAAGTGGACATTACAGGGAGAAAACCAACAAGTGAGCATATACAGGGGTTACCATACCAGATCAATGTGGAGTATATAAGGAGTACCAGAAACCAGATAAAAGTGGAGTATATAAGGGAAGTACCAGCCAGATAAATGTGGAGCTATATCGGGAGTACCAATCAAGTGGGAGCTATATACGGGAAAAGTACCAGAAGCAAGTGGAGTTTACAGGGAGTACCGACCAATCCAATGGGGAGAATAAAAAAGGGGAGCCAGAAACCAGATAAATTTTGGGTTTGGGGAAAATAAAAATACAGGGAAGTACCAGAAAACCAGATCAATGTGGAGCTAATAAGGGAAGTACCAGACCAGATAAGGGGCTAATACGGGGAGTAAGTACCAGATCAATGTGGAGTAATACAGGAAGTACCAGATCAATTGGACTATAAAATCAAGTACCAAATTTAACCACAGATAAATTAGCTTAAAGGGGAAGTACGTCCCCCAGATCAATGTGGAGAAAATATAAGGAAGTCCCGAAACCAATAATGTGGAGCATATACAGGGGACCAGTACCAGATAAAATTGGGCTATTACAAATAATTTCCCAGATCAATGTGGAGTAATACGGGGAAAAGGTACCAGATCAATGTGGAGCTAAAGGGAAAATACCGATCAATTTGGGCCCCTAAAAAATTTTGAGTACCAGCCCCAATAATGGAGCTATTCGGGGAGTACCAGATCAATGTGGAGCATATACAGGAGTACCAGATAATTTTGGAGCATATACGGGGGAAGTACCCGGGGTCAAGGGGACTAATACAGGGAGTACAATTTTCCAATGGGGGCTTATAAGGGGGCCAATAATTGGAGAAATTTAAAAAGACCGATAAATGTGAGCTATATACAGGGAAAGGGGGTACAGAAAATTTGGGGAGCATATACAGGGGTACCAGAACCAGATCAATGTGGAGCTTATACAGGGATTTAAAAGACCAACGTGGAGATAAAACAGGGATACCAGAAAACCAGATAATTTGGGCTTCATAAGAATCCCGATCAAGTGGAGCTATATACGGGGAAAAGACCGACCAAAACAATGTGGAGCTATATAAGGGATACCAAAAACCAAGGGGTGGAGATATAAAGGGGTACCAAATCCCCAAAGATCAAGTGGAGCTAAATATACAGGGGGAAATTCCCCGGTCAATGTGGAGTAATAAAGGGAGTACCAGAACCAGATCAATGTGGATAAAAAAGGGATACCAAAACCAATTTAATTTGGGGAGTACCGGGGAACCAGATCAATGTGGAGTATATTAGGGATCCCCGCCCAGTAAATGGGAGTTTTAAAAAATACGAACCAGTCAATGTGGAGCATATACAGGGATTACCAGACCAGATCAAGGGGAGTAAAAAAGGGGGGGTACCAGTACCGATCAGTGGAGTATTAAGGGAACCAGACCGTCAAGTGGGCATATACAGGGATACCAGACCGACAAGTGGAGCTATATACAGGGGAATCCCCAGACAATGTGGAGCATATACAGGGAGAAAATTTACCAGATCAATGTGGAGCATATACAGGATTACCAGAATCAATGTGGAGCATATACAGGGAATCCCAGATGTGGGCTATTACAGGGTAACCAGTACCAGATCAATGTGGAGTTTTATTACGGGAAAGTACCATTCCCCAATCAATTGGAGCTATATACCAGGGGAGTACCGTACCAGATCAATGTGGAGCTATAACAGGGAAATAAAAAAGATAAGTAGTTAAAACGGGGGTACCAGACCCAAAATGGGGGCTATATACAGGAAGTACCAGTACCAGTCAATGGGAAAATATATACAGGGACCCAGTACCAGAAAATTGGAAAGCATATAAGGGAGTAAAAGTACGAAAGGGGAAAGGTACCATACCAGTAAATGTGGAGCAAATACAGGGAAAACCCAGTAACCGATCAATGTGGAGCAATACGGGGAGTACCGGGGACCAATAAAGGGGCTATATACAGGGAGTACCAGACGTCAATGTGGAGCTATAACGGGAGTACCCGTACCAGATAAAAATTTGGAGCTAATACAGGGGGGTTCCAGTCCCAGATCAATTGGGCTATATACGGGGGAAAAGTCCAGACCAGATCAATGTGGAGCTATATACAGGAAGTACCCAGGAAAACTAGTCAATATGGAGCTTTACAGGGCTGTGTGTTTGTTTTTTAAACCGCCGGGAAACACACCTACTTTTCCGGGGGTTTTTTTTCTTTTTTTTTAATTTTTTTACATTGTATAATAATAGTTAAGCATAAAAAACACGAAAAAAACATATGGAATAAAATAGTAACCAAAAAAGTGTTAACAAATAAAAAATATTTCAAATTTTAGATTTTCAAATAGCACACTTTCCTTGATGACAACCGCACATTTGGCATTCTTCCCAAAAGTTATGAGGGGGGGGTCCCCGGGGAAAGCATTTCAATTAAAAGGGTGCCTTCCCCAAAAGATTTGGGAATTTCTTTCCTTCTTAATGCATTTTAGCCAATCAGTTTTTGTTTGCAAGGAGGGTTTTCATACAGAAGAAGCCCTATTTGATAAAAGCCAAGTCCAAATTATGGCAAGAACACTCAAATAAGCAAAGAGAAACGACAGTCCCTATTACTTTAAAACAATGAAAGGGCAGGGCAAAACGGGAAAATTTTTAGAAATTTTAAAGTTTTTCAAGGGCATTGCAAAAAACCATCAAGGCTATGATGAAAGGGCTTTATGAGGGGCCGCCCGGAATGGAAAAAACCCCAAAAATTACCCCCCTGCGAGAGGATAAGTTCATTAGAGGGGTTCAGGGAGAAAAAAAGGGAACCCAAATAAATCTTCACGAGTTCAAGAAAAAAACACATTAAAAATCAAATGTTTGAGGAGGGCTGTGGAACAGGCCTTCATATCGAAATTTTGCAAGGACATCCTAAAAAGGAAAAAAAAAAAGGGGACTTGTTGGGCCAAGAAACCGAAAAAAATGGAATTAGAAATCTGTCCTTTTGAGATTTTTTGGTTCCAACCCCGTGTCTTTTGAGATAAGAAAGGTGAAAAGGGTGATCTCCGAAAGTGTGGTTCCCACCCTAAGCACGGAGGAGGTGTTTATGGTGCTTTTTTGGTGACATGTCAGTGATTTACAAGAATTTAAGGCCCCAAATTAACCAGCTGGCACCACAGCATTTTGCACGATAAAAACCAAACCCACTGGTTGGGGGTTAGTGGGACTATCATTTTTTTTTTTTAACAGGACAATGACCCAACCCCACCTCCGGTTGTGTAAGGGTATTACCCCAAAAAAGGGAAAAAAAGGGGGCTGCATCAAAAACCCCGGCCTCCACAAAAACAAAACCCCACCTCAAAAAAAATTGAGATGGTTTGGGAGAGTTGGGGACCAGATGAAGGAAAAAAACAGCCAAAAAGTGCTCAATATTTGGGGGAACCCTTCAAAAACTGTTTTAAAAGCATTCCCGGGAAAAAATTAAAATAAAATTTTTGTTTTTAACCTTTTTTGGTTTCTACCATGATTCCATATGTGTTTTTCATGTTTGGGTAAAAAATGAATGTGAAAAAGTCAAAAAAAAAAAAAAACCCTTGTGAGAGGTGTGCCAAACGTTTGACTGGTTTTACATGTGTATGTAGATGAAGGGGTTTTAAAATGACCAGGCATAGGATGTAATAATAAAGGATTTGAGGTAGATTGTTGAAAAAGGCAGGTAAAAATGACCAGGCATCAGAAGATAATAATAGGTATTGAGGGAGATAGTACGAAGGCAGGGGGAAAGTGACTAGGCATCAGGATAGATAAAAATAAGGTATTTGAGGTAGATATGTAAGAAAACAGGGTTTTAAATGACTAGGGGAAAACAGGATAGATAAATTAAGGTAAATTTTTTTAGGTAGGGAAATAATTGGGGGTAAATTAAAAAGGCGGGTAAAGTGATAGGCATCAGGATAATAATAAAGGTATTTGAGGTAGTTTAAAAGGGAAGGGAGGAAAAATATAGAAAAAAATTTTTTTTTTAATTTTTGGAGGGTAATTTGGGGGGGGGGTTTAAAATTAGTAGGGTAGAAAGGGAAAAAATGAAGAACAGGAAAAAATTAGTTGAAAGTTGTTGAAAAAAATTTTTTGGGAATAAATTGGTTTTGGGAAAAATTTTTTGGGGGGTTTTGGGGGGGGGGGGGGGGAATTGGGAGGGGGAGGTGGGGTGGGGAGGGGGAGGGGAAAGGGGGATTTGGGGGGGGGGGAGGGGGAGGGTTGGGGGGTGGGGGGATTTGGGGGGGGGGGGGGGGGGGAAAAAAAAGGGGGGGGGGGGTGGGAAAAGGTGGGTGGAGGGGGGGGGGTAAAGGGGGGGGGGAGGGGGGGGGGGAGGGGAAGGGAGGGGGAGGGGGGGTTTTTAAAAAGGGGAGTAAAAGGGGGGGGGGGGGGGGGGGAAAGGGGGGGGTTTGGGGGGGGGGGGGGGTGGGGGTGGGGGGGGGGGTGGGTGGGGGGGGAGGGGGTTTTTGGGGGGGGGGGGGGGGGGAGGGGGGGGGGGGTCGGGTGGGGGGGGGGGGGGGGGGTGGGTGGGGGGGGTGGGGGGGGGGGGGGGTTTTGTGGGGGGGGGGGGGTGGGGGGGGGGGGTTGGGGGGTTTTTGGGGGGGGGTGGGGGGGGGGGGGGGGGGGGGGGGTTTTGGGGTGGGTGGTGGGGGGGGGGGGGAAAAGGGGGGGGGGGGGGGGGGTTTGGGGGGGGGGGGGTAGGGAGGGGGGGGGGGGGGGGAGGGTGGGGGGGGGAGGGGGGTTGTTTGGGGGGGGGGGTGGGGGGTTTGGGGGGGGGGTTTTGGGGAGGGAGGGGGGGGGGGGGGGGGGGGGGGGGGGGGGGTGGGGGGGGGGGGGGGTGGGGGGGGTAGGGGGGGTGGGGGGGGGGGGGGTTGGGGGGGGTGGGGAGGGGGGGGGGGGGGGGGGGGTGGGGGTGGGGGGGGTGGGGGGGGGGGGGGGTGGGTGGGTTTTGGGTTTGGGGGGGGGGGGGGGGTTTTTGGGGGGGGGTTGGGGGGGTGGTTTGGGGGTGGGGGGGGGGGGTGTTTGGGGGGGGGGGTGGGGGGGGGGGGGGGGGGGAGGGGGGGGGGGTTTTGGGAGGGGGGGAAAGGGGGGGGGTGGGGGGGGGGTGAGTAGGGGGGGGGGGGTTGGGGGGAGGGGGGGGGGTTTGGGGGGGTTTTGGGGGGGGGTGGGTGGGGGGGTGGGGGGGGGGGGTTTGGGGGGGGGGGGGGGGGGTGGGGGGGGGGGGGGGGGGTTTTGGGGGTGTGGGGGGGTGGGGGGGGGGGGTTTTGGGGGGGTAGGGGGGGGTTTTGGGGGGTGGGGGGGGGGGGGTTTTGGGGTGGGTTTTGGGGGAGTTTTAGGGGGGGGGGGTGATTTAGGGTTGGTGGGGTTTGTGGGTGAGTGTAGGGGGGGTAGGGTGAGTGTGGGTTTGAGTTGGGGGGGTGGTAGGGTGAGTGTAGGGGTGGTGGGTTGGTAGGGTGAGTGTAGGGTGAGTGTAGGGGGTGAGTTAGGGTGGTGTAGGGGGGGTGGTGGGGGTGAGTGTAGGAGGGGTGAGTAGGGTGAGTGTAGGGGGGTAGGGGGGGTAGGGGGTGAAGTGTAGGGGAGGGAGGGTGAGTAGGGTGAGTGTAGGAGGGGTGAGTAGGGTGAGTGAGGGTGAGTGGGGAGTAGGGTGGTGTAGGAGGGTGGGGTCGAGTAGGGTGAGTGTAGGGTGAGTGAGTAGGGTGAGTGTAGGGTGAGTGTAGGGTGAGTGAGTAGGGTGAGTGTGTGTGTGTGATAGGGTGAGTGAGTAGGGTGAGTGAGTAGGGTCAATGTGAGATAGAGTCAGTGCAGATAGTTCAGGTACCATGAATTAACTATTTAGCAGTCTGGCTATTTAGCAGTCTGGCTATTTAGCAGTCTGGCTATTTAGCAGTCTTATGGCTTGGGGATAGAAGCTGTCTCGGAGCCAGTTGGTCCGAAAGCCGATGCTCCGGTACCGTTTGCCGGACGGTAGTAGAGAGAACAGTCTATGGCTAGGGGGGCTGGAGTATTTGGCAATATTCAGGGCCTTCCTCTGACCGCCTGGTCTAGAGGTCCTGGATGGCAGGGAGCTTGGCCCCAGTGATGTACTGGGCTGTCCGCACCACCCTCTGTAGCGCCTTGGCCAAGGGCGGTGCATTTTCCATACCAGGCGGTGATGCAGCCAGTCAGGATGCTCTAGATGGTGCAGCTGTATAACGTTTTGAGGATCTGAGGACCCGTGCCAAACCTTTTCAGCCTCCTGAGGGGGAATAGGCGCTGCCGGGCCCTCTTCAGGACTGTGTTGGTTTGTGTGGACCATGTTAATAATAATAATCATAATAATAATCATAATAATAATAATAATAATAATAATAATAAGCCATTTAGCAGACGCTTTTATCCAAAGCGACTTACAGTCATGTGTGCATACATTTTTACGTATGTGTGGTCCCGGGGATCGAACCCACTACCTTGGCGTTACAAGCGCCGTGCTCTACCAGCTGAGCTACAGAGGTCCAAGTCCTTAGTGATGTGGACACTGAGGAATTTGAAGGATCTATAACTTATACTGAGCTCCACATAAAGAAGATCTAACATGTAGAACACACACACACACACACACACACAGACACACACACACACAGAGTAACTCACGGCAAAGGCCTCGTGGAACTCGAAGACATCGATGTCATCCATAGTTAACCCTGCACGTGCCAGAACTTTAGGAGTTCCATATGCTGGCCTGAAGAGGAGAAACAAACGTATTAACTATTTATCATCCTCATCCTCATGGTTCTATAGACCATAGAGCTACTATAGCAGGGTTAAAGTTCAGGTCCACTCTAGGTCAGGGTTAAAGGTTACTCACCCCAGCAGCAACTGGTCTTTGGGGTCCTGAGACACGTACACAAAGTCTCTGTAGAACACACACAGCAGATACACATACCATGACTACACACTGCAGATACTTCTATGTAGTATAGTGAAGTATAGTATATTACAGTAATAGAGTACCTGAGGTAGGCTTTGGGCTTGTATCCCATGGCCAGGGCTTTCTCTGTAGTATAGTGAAGTATAGTATATTACAGTACCTGAGGTAGGCTTTGGGCTTGTATCCCATGGACAGGGCTTTCTCTGTAGTATAGTGAAGTATAGTATATTACAGTACCTGAGGTAGGCTTTGGGCTTGTATCCCATGGCCAGGGCTTTCTCTGTAGTATAGTGAAGTATAGTATATTACAGTAATACAGTACCTGAGGTAGGCTTTGGGCTTGTATCCCATGGCCAGGGCTTTCTCTGTAGTATAGTGAAGTATAGTATATTACAGTACCTGAGGTAGGCTTTGGGCTTGTATCCCATGGCCAGGGCTTTCTCTGTAGTATAGTGAAGTATAGTATATTACAGTAATACAGTACCTGAGGTAGGCTTTGGGCTTGTATCCCATGGCCAGGGCTTTCTCTTCTGACATGATGAGGACAGCTGATGCACCGTCCGTCTGAGGAACACACACAGTTTACATTCAGTCAATTGAGGAGTTGAGTAACAGTCAATAAAAAAATATGTTATGTGTTTATACCAGGAAGGAGGAGAAACAGTTAACTGTTCTCTCTCTCTGTGTGTGCGTGTGCGTGTGCGCGTGCGTGCGTGCGTGTGCGTGCACGTACCAGGAAGGAGGAGTTTGCAGCAGTAACAGTGCCATGGGGTTTGATGAAGGCAGGTTTCAGTTTGGCCAGCTGTTCCATGGAGGATGGACGGATCCCGTTGTCCTTGGCGACCATGTCACGCCCTACACACACACTTTGTTCAATATTTGTCATCATCACAGCAGTCATAGAATGCTCTGTTGGCTTGATGCAGGGGTTCCCTAACTTCTCCACTCAGGCTACCCTTCCATCATTGGGGAACGCCCCCCCGTTTTACACCATGTGCATTCTAACATGCCCCCTGTGCCCCACAGTTTCGTAACCACTGGCTTGATGGACTAGAACGCTAACCCTCTGGTCACTAGTCTCTAACCCCTAAAACTAGACTAACTAACCAACCAACCCTCTGGTCACTAGTCTCTAACCCCTAAAACTAGACTAACTAACCCTCTGGTCACTAGTCTCTAACCCCCTAATACTAGACTAACTAACCCTCTGGTCACTAGTCTCTAACCCCCTAATACTAGGACTAACTAACCCTCTGGTCACTAGTCTCTAACCCCTAATACTAGACTAACTAACCCTCTGGTCACTAGTCTCTAACCCCCTAATACTAGACTAACTAACCCTCTGGTCACTAGTCTCTAACCCCCTAATACTAGACTAAACTAAACCCTCTGGTCACTAGTCTCTAACACCCTAATACTAGACTAAACTAACCCTCTGGTCACTAGTCTCTAACCCCTAATACTAGACTAACTAACCCTCTGGTCACTAGTCTCTAACCCCCTAATACTAGACTAACTAACCCTCTGGTCACTAGTCTCTAACCCCTAATACTAGACTAACTAACCCTCTGGTCACTAGTCTCTAACCCCCTAATACTAGACTAACTAACCCTCTGGTCACTAGTCTCTAACCCCCTAATACTAGACTAACTAACCCTCTGGTCACTAGTCTCTAACCCCTAACTATGACTAACTAACCCTCTGGTCACTATCTCTAACCCTATACTAGACTAACTAACCCTCTGGTCACTAGTCTCTAACCCCCTAATACTAGACTAACTAACCCTCTGGTCACTAGTCTCTAACCCCCTAATACTAGACTAACTAACCCTCTGGTCACTAGTCTCTAACCCCCTAATACTAGACTAACTAACCCTCTGGTCACTAGTCTCTAACCCCCTAATACTAGACTAACTAACCCTCTGGTCACTAGTCTCTAACCCCCTAATACTAGACTAACTAACCCTCTGGTCACTAGTCTCTAACCCCCTAATACTAGACTAACTAACCCTCTGGTCACTAGTCTCTAACCCCCTAATACTAGACTAACTAACCCTCTGGTCACTAGTCTCTAACCCCCTAATACTAGACTAACTAACCCTCTGGTCACTAGTCTCTAACCCCCTAATACTAGACTAACTAACCCTCTGGTCACTAGTCTCTAACCCCTAATACTAGACTAACTAACCCTCTGGTCACTAGTCTCTAACCCCCTAATACTAGACTAAACTTAACCCTCTGGTCACTAGTCTCTAACCCCCCTAATACTAGACTAACTAACCCTCTGGTCACTAGTCTCTAACCCCCTAATACTAGACTAACTAACCCTTGGTCACTAGTCTCTAAACCCCCTAATACTAGACTAACTAACCCTCTGGTCACTAGTCTCTAACCCCCTAATACTAGACTAACTAACCTCTGGTCACTAGTCTCAACCCCTAATACTAGACTAACTAACCCTCTGGTCACTAGTCTCTAACCCCTAATATCTAGACTAACTAACCCTCTGGTCACTAGTCTCTAACCCCCTAATACTAGACTAACTAACCCTCTGGTCACTAGTCTCTAACCCTAATACTAGACTAGACTAACAACCCTCTGGTCACTAGTCTCTAACCCTATACTAGACTAACTATACCCTTCTGGTCACTAGTCTCTAACCCCCTAATACTAGACTAACTAACCCTCTGGTCATAGTCTCTAACCCCCTAATACTAGACTAACTAACCCTCTGGTCACTAGTCTCTAACCCCTAATACTAGACTAACTAACCCTCTGGTCACTAGTCTCTAACCCCTAATACTAGACTAACTAACCCTCTGGTCACTAGTCTCTAACCCCCTAATACTAGACTAACTAACCCTCTGGTCACTAGTCTCTAACCCCTAATACTAGACTAACTAACCCTCTGGTCACTAGTCTCTAACCCCCTAATACTAGACTAACTAACCCTCTGGTCACTAGTCTCTAACCCCCTAATACTAGACTAACTAACCCTCTGGTCACTAGTCTCTAACCCCCTAATACTAGACTAACTAACCCTCTGGTCACTAGTCTCTAACCCCTAATACTAGACTAACTAACCCTCTGGTCACTAGTCTCTAACCCCTAATACTAGACTAACTAACCCTCTGGTCACTAGTCTCTAACCCCCTAATACTAGACTAACTAACCCTCTGGTCACTAGTCTCTAACCCCCTAATACTAGACTAACTAACCCTCTGGTCACTAGTCTCTAACCCCCTAATACTAGACTAACTAACCCTCTGGTCACTAGTCTCTAACCCCTAATACTAGACTAACTAACCCTCTGGTCACTAGTCTCTAACCCCCTAATACTAGACTAACTAACCCTCTGGTCACTAGTCTCTAACCCCTAATACTAGACTAACTAACCCTCTGGTCACTAGTCTCTAACCCCCTAATACTAGACTAACTAACCCTCTGGTCACTAGTCTCTAACCCCCTAATACTAGACTAACTAACCCTCTGGTCACTAGTCTCTAACCCCTAATACTAGACTAACTAACCCTCTGGTCACTAGTCTCTAACCCCCTAATACTAGACTAACTAACCAACCAACCCTCTGGTCACTAGTCTCTAACCCCCTAATACTAGACTAACTAACCCTCTGGTCACTAGTCTCTAACCCCCTAATACTAGACTAACTAACCCTCTGGTCACTAGTCTCTAACCCCCTAATACTAGACTAACTAACCCTCTGGTCACTAGTCTCTAACCCCCTAATACTAGACTAACTAACCCTCTGGTCACTAGTTCGAAACCCCTAATACTAGACTAACTAACCTCTGGTCATAGTCTCTACACCCCCTAATACTAGACTAACTAACCCTCTGGTCACTAGTCTCAACCCCTAATACTAGACTAAACTACACCATTGGTCACAGTTCTAACCCACCAAACTAGACAACAACCCAGTGTTCATGGTTACCTGGCACCTTGAAGCTGATGACGTCGCTGAGGAGTCCTGCATCCTGAGCCTGTTTGGCTAAAGTGTGAGATCGCAGAGCGAATTCATCCTGCTCCAACCGAGTCACTCCGAACGCCGCCGCCAGACGGTCCGCACTATGACCCATCGTCTCTGCCGTGGAAAACTCTGCTACCGCAGGCAGCTACACACACATTATATAAACACACACACACACACACACATCATATAAACACACACAATATAAACACACACACATTATATAAACACACACACATACATTATATAAACACACACACATTATATAAACACACATATACATTATACACACACACACACACACACATTTATATCAACACACATATACATTATACACAAAACACATTATATAAACACACAAATTATACACTGCTCAAAAATAAAGGGAACACTTAAACAACACAATGTAACTCCAAGTCAATCACACTTCTGTGAAATCAAACTGTCCACTTAGGAAGCAACACTGATTGACAATACATTTCACATGCTGTTGTGCAAATGGAATAGACAACAGGTGGAAATTATAGGCAATTAGCAAGACACCCCCAATAAAGGACTGGTTCTGCAGGTGGTGACCACAGACCACTTCTCAGTTCCTATGCTTCCGGGCTGATGTTTTGGTCACTTTTGAATGCTGGCGGTGCTTTCACTCTAGTGGTAGCATGAGACGGAGTCTACAACCCACACAAGTGGCTCAGGTAGTGCAGCTCATCCAGGATGGCACATCAATGCGAGCTGTGGCAAGAAGGTTTGCTGTGTCTGTCAGCGTAGTGTCCAGAGCATGGAGGCGCTACCAGGAGACAGGCCAGTACATCAGGAGACGTGGAGGAGGCCGTAGGAGGGCAACAACCCAGCAGCAGGACCGCTACCTCCGCCTTTGTGCAAGGAGGAGCAGGAGGAGCACTGCCAGAGCCCTGCAAAATGACCTCCAGCAGGCCACAAATGTGCATGTGTCTGCTCAAACGGTCAGGAACAGACTCCATGAGGGTGGTATGAGGGCCCGATGTCCACAGGTGGGGGTTGTGCTTACAGCCCAACACCGTGCAGGACGTTTGGCATTTGCCAGAGAACACCAAGATTGGCAAATTCGCCACTGGCGCCCTGTGCTCTTCACAGATGAAAGCAGGTTCACACTGAGCACATGTGACAGAGTCTGGAGACGCCGTGGAGAACGTTCTGCTGCCTGCAACATCCTCCAGCATGACCGGTTTGGCGGTGGGTCAGTCATGGTGTGGTGTGGCATTTCTTTGGGGGGCTGCACAGCCCTCCATGTGCTCGCCAGAGGTAGCCTGACTGCCATTAGGTACCGAGATGAGATCCTCAGACCCCTTGTGAGACCATATGCTGGTGCGGTTGGCCCTGGGTTCCTCCTAATGCAAGACAATGCTAGACCTCATGTGGCTGGAGTGTGTCAGCAGTTCCTGCAAGAGGAAGGCATTGATGCTATGGACCGCCCGTTCCCCAGACCTGAATCCAATTGAGCACATCTGGGACATCATGTCTCGCTCCATCCACCAACGCCACGTTGCACCACAGACTGTCCAGGAGTTGGCGGATGCTTTAGTCCAGGTCTGGGAGGAGATCCCTCAGGAGCCCATCCGCCACCTCATCAGGAGCATGCCCAGGCGTTGTAGGGAGGTCATACAGGCACGTGGAGGCCACACACACTACTGAGCCTCATTTTGACTTGTTTTAAGGACATTACATCAAAGTTGGATCAGCCTGTAGTGTGGTTTTCCACTTTAATTTTGAGGGTGACTCCAAATCCAGACCTCCATGGGTTGATAAATTTGATTTCCATTGATAATTTTTGTGTGATTTTGTTGTCAGCACATTCAACTATGTAAAGAAAAAAGTATTTAATAAGATTATTTCATTCATTCAGTTCTAGGATGTGTTATTTTAGTGTTCCCTTTATTTTTTTTAGCAATATTTTATTTATTTATATATATATATATATATATATATATATACACACACATACATACACACACACAGTTGAAGTCGGAAGTTTACATACACTTAGGTTGGAGTCATTAAAACTCGTTTTTCAACCACCCCACAAATGTCTTGTTAACAATCTATAGTTTTGGCAAGTCTGATAGGACATCTACTTTGTGCATGACAAGTAATTTTTCCAACAATTGTTTACAGACAGATTATTTCACTTTTAATTCACTGTATCACAATTCCAGTGGGTCAGAGGTTTACATACACTAAGTTGACTGTGCCTTTAAACAGCTTGGAAAATTCCAGAAAATGATGTCATGGCTTTAGAAGCTTCTGATAGGCTAATTGACATCATTTGAGTCAATAGGAGGTGTACCTGTGGATGTATTTCAAGGCCTACCTTCAAACTCAGTGCCTCTTTGCTTGACCTCATGGGAAAATCAAAAGAAATCAGCCAAGACCTTAGAAAAAAAATTGTAGACCTCCACAAGTCTGGTTCATCCTTGGGAGCAATTTCCAAACGCCTGAAGGTACCACGTTCATCTGTACAAACAATAGTACGCAAGTAAAAACACCATGGGACCACGCAGCTGTCATACCGCTCAGGAAGGAGACGCGTTCTGTCTCCTAGAGATTAACGTACTTTGGTGCGAATAGTGCAAATCAATCCCAGAACAACAGCAAAGGACCTTGTGAAGATGCTGGAGGAAACAGGTACAAAAGTATCTATATCCACAGTAAACAAGTCCTATATCGACATAACCTGAAAGGCCGCTCAGCAAGGAAGAAGCCACTGCTCCAAAAACACCATAAAAAGCCAGACAACGGTTTGCAACTGCACATGGGGACAAAGATCGTACTTTTTGGAGAAATGTCCTCTGGTCTGATGAAACAAAAATAGAACGGTTTCGCCATAATGACCATCGTTATGTTTGGAGGAAAAAGGGGGTGCTTGCAAGCCGAAGAACACCATCCCAACCGTGAAGAACGGGGTGGCAGCATCATGCTGTGGGGGTGCATTGCTGCAGGAGGGACTGGTGCACTTCCCAAAATAGATGGCATCATGAGGAAGGAAAATTATGTGGATATATTGAAGCAACATCTCAAGACATCAGTCAGGAAGTTAAAGCTTGGTCGCAAATGGGTCTTCCAAATAGACAATGACCCCAAGCATACTTCCAATGTTGTGGCAAAATGGCTTAAGGACAGCAAAGTCAAGGTATTGGAGTGGCCATCACAAAGCCCTGACCTCAATCCTATAGGAAATGTGTGGGCAGAACTGAAAAAGCGTGTGCGAGCAAGGAGGCCTACAAACCTGACTCAGTTACACCATCTCTGTCAGGAGGAATGGGCCAAAATTCACCCAACTTATTGTGGGAAGCTTGTGGAAGGCTACCCAAAACGTTTGACCCAAGTTAAACAATTTAAAGGCAATGATACAAAATACTAATTGAGTGTATGTAAACTTCTGTCCCACTGGGAATGTGATGAAAGAAATAAAAGCTGAAATAAATCATTCTCTCTACTATTATTCTGACATTTCACATTCTTAAAATAAAGTGGTGATCCTAACTGACCTAAAACAGGGAATTTTTACTAGGATTAAATGTCAGGAATTGTGAAAAACTGAGTTTAAATGTATTTGGTTAAGGTGTATGTAAACTTCTACCACTACCACCACCATATTTTACTGTTGGTATGATGTTCTTTTTCTGAAATGCGGTGTTACTTTTACGCCAGATGTAATGGGACACACACCTTCCAAAAAGTTCAAACTTTTGTCTCGTCAGTCCACAGAGTATTTTCCCAAAGGTCTTGGAGATCATCAAGATGTTTTCTGGCAAAAATGAGACGAGCCTTAATGTTCTTTTTGCTCAGCAGTGGTTTTCGTCTGGGAACTCTGCCATGCAGGCCATTTTTGACCAGTCTCTTTCTTATGGTGGAGTCATGAACACTGACCTTAAATGAGGCAAGTGAGGCCTGCAGCTCTTTGGATGTTGTTGTGGGGTCTTTTGTGACCTCTTGGATGAGTCGTCGCTGCGCTCTTGGGGTAATTTTGGTCGGCCGGCCACTCCTGGGAAGGTTCACCACTGTTCCATGTTTTCGCCATTTGTGGATAATGGCTTTCACTGTGGTTCGCTGGAGTCCCAAAGCTTTAGAAATGGCTTTATAACCTTTTCCAGACTGATGGATCTCAATTACTTTCTTTCTCATTTGTTCCTGAATTTCTTTGGATCTCGGCATGATGTCTAGCTTTTGGAGGATCTTTTGTTAATAATAAAGTAATCAGGCCTGGGTGTGGCTAGAGGAATTGAACTCAGGTGTGATAAACCACAGTTGAGTTCTGTTAAAAGGAAGGGGGGGGGGGGGGGGGGTTGGCAAACCCTTTTTCCCACAGGGCCATGTGGGTTTGGATTTTGTTCCCTTAATAATAACAACCTTCATTTCAAAACTGCATTTTCTGTTTACTTGTGTTGTGTTATCTTTGACTAATATTTACATTTGTTTGATGATCTGAAACATTTAAGTGTGACAAACATGCAAACAAATAACAAATCAGGAAGGGGGCAAACACTTTCACACCACTGTAGATGAAATACCTCAGGTGTGAGATGAGCCATCCTGATAGAGCTTATAAGGCTAAGGCGTTGTCCGAGGGTCTTCGCTCTGTTCAGAGCCAACATGGTCTTCCTCATCTTCCTGCTGTGGCGAATAGGGACGTCCGACATAAACTCCACCCCTCCAGCTACTATGGTATCACACTGGCCTGCTGCGATCAGCCCCACTCCTACAACACACAATACACTGTTACTATGGTATCACACTGACCTGCTGCGATCAGCCCCACTCCTACAACACATAGAGAATACACTGTTACTATGGTATCACACTGGCCTGCTGCGATCAGCCCCACTCCTACAACACACAATACACAGTTACTATGGTATCACACTGGCCTGCTGCGATCAGCCCCACTCCTACAACACACAATACACTGTTACTATGGTATCACACTGGTCCCCTGTAATCACCCCCACAATACACTGTTACTATGGTATCACACTGACCCGCTGTGATCAGCCCCACCCCTACAACACACAATACACTGTTACTATGGTATCACACTGGTCCCCTGTAATCACCCCCACAACACACTGTTACTATGGTATCACACTGTTACATTGGTATCACACTGACCCGCTGTGATCAGCCCCACCCCCATTACAGACCGGTACCTGCTGTCATCATTACAGACCGGTACCTGCTGTCATCATTACAGACCGGTACCTGCGGTCATCATTACAGACCGGTACCTGTTGTCATCATTACAGACCGGTACCTGTTGTCATATTACAGACCGGTACCTGTGTCATCATTACAGACGGTACTGTGTCATCATTACAGACGGTACATGCTGTCATCATTACAGACCGGTACCTGCTGTCATCATTACAGACCGGTACCTGCTGTCATCATTACAGACCGGTACCTGCTGTCATCATTACAGACCGGTACCTGCTGTCATCATTACAGACCGGTACCTGTTGTCATCATTACAGACCGGTACCTGCTGTCATCATTACAGACCGGTACCTGCTGTCATCATTACAGACCGGTACCTGCTGTCATCATTACAGACCGGTACCTGTGTCATCATTACAGACCGGTACCTGTGTCATCATTACAGACCGGTACCTGTGTCATCATTACAGACCGGTACCTGTTGTCATCATTACAGACCGGTACCTGTTGTCATCATTACAGACCGGTACCTGCTGTCATCATTACAGACCGGTACCTGCTGTCATCATTACAGACCGGTACCTGCTGTCATCATTACAGACCGGTACCTGCTGTCATCATTACAGACCGGTACCTGCTGTCATCATTACAGACCGGTACCTGTTGTTATCATTACAGACCGGTACCTGTTGTCATAGCGACGTTGGAGGAAATGCAGGCCATGGTGACGGTGTGAGACGGGATCTTGTCAGAGAAGCCTGCTCCCAACGACGCCTGGAAAACAAACATTATTTAGCAGACGCTCTTATCCACAGTTAGTGAGTGCATACATACTCATATTATATACTGTACACACACACACTGTATACACACACACTGTATACACATATACTGTATACATACATTATATACTGTATACACCAACACAGAACAATGGCGCCGGAGAAGATGGCTGCCGTTTTACAGCCCTCTAACCAATTGTACTATTATGTGTGTTTTTCCGCGTTATTTGTAATTTATTTTGTACATAATGTTTCTGCCATCGTCTCTTACAACCAAAAAGAGCTTCTGGATATCAGGACAGCGATTACTCACCTCGTATTGGACTAATATTTTTTCTTCAACGAGGCGGCCGCGAAGGATATCCTACAGACACCCGACAAGGCCCAAATCCCCGTCATTCGCATGAGGAAGAGACGGAGATGTCGTGGACGTAGGTCGGGGTGCCTTGTAAGGATCCGACGGCGAGCGAGTAAACTGCCTCTTCCATCAATCCTATTAGCCAATCTTCAATCATTTGAAAATAAATTAGATGACCTATGATTACGGTTATCCTACCAACGGGACATTAAAAACTGTAATATTACATTTACGTCATTTAGCAGACGCTCTTATCCAGAGCGACTTACAAATTGGTGCATTCACCTTATAGCCAGTGGGATAACCACTTTACAATGTTTTTTTTTTTTTTTTTTTTTTGGGTTTTTTTTTTTGGGGGGGGGGTGGGTTGGGGTAAGGGGGGGGGTAGAAGGATTACTTTATCCTATCCCAGGTATTCCTTAAAGAGGTGGGGTTTCAAGTGTCTCCGGAAGGTGGTGAGTGACTCCGCTGTCCTGGCGTCGTGAGGGAGCTTGTTCCACCATTGGGGTGCCAGAGCAGCAACAGTTTTGACTGGGCTGAGCGGGAACTATGCTTCCGCAGAGGAAGGGGAGCCAGCAGGCCAGAGGTGGATGAACGCAATGCCCTCGTTTGGGTGTAGGGACTGATCAGAGCCTGAAGGTACAGAGGTGCCGTTCCCCTCACAGCTCCGTAGGCAAGCACCATGGTCTTATAGCAGATGCGAGCTTCAACTGGAAGCCAGTGGAGTGTGCGGAGGAGCAGGGTGACGTGAGAGAACTTGGGAAGGTTGAACACCAGACGGGCTGCGGCATTCTGGATGAGTTGTAGGGGTTTAATGGCACAGGCAGGGAGGCCAGCCAACAGCGAGTTGCAGTAATCCAGACGGGAGACGACAAGTGCCTGGATTAGGACCTGTGCCGCTTCCTGTGTAAGGCAGGGTCGTACTCTGCGAATGTTGTAGAGCATGAACCTACAGGATCGGGTCACCGCCTTGATGTTAGCGGAGAACGACAGGGTGTTGTCCAGGGTCACGCCAAGGCTCTTCGCACTCTGGGAGGAGGACACAACGGAGTTGTCAACCGTGATGGCAAGATCATGGAACAGGCAGTCCTTCCCCGGGACGAAGAGCAGCTCCGTCTTGCCAAGGTTCAGCTTGAGGTGGTGATCCGTCATCCATACAATATCTTATGTTTCACCGAGTCGTGGCTGAACGACGACATGGACAACATACAGCTAGCGGGCTATATGCTACATCGGCAGGATAGAACGGCTGACTCCGGTAAGACAAGGGGTGGCGGTCTGTGTATATTTGTAAACAACAGCTGGTGCACAAATTCAAATACTAAGGAAGTCTCAAGGTTTTGCTCACCTGAGGTAGAGTATCTCATGATAAGCTGTAGACCACACTATTTACCAAGAGAGTTTTAATCTATATTTTTCATAGCTGTCTATTTACCACCAAACCAATGCTGGCATTAAGATTGCACTCAATGAGCTGTATAAGGCCATAAGTGAACAGGAAAACGCTCATCCAGAGGCAGCGCTCCTAGTGGCCGGGGACTTTAATGCAGGGAAACTTAAATCCGTTCTACCTAATTTCTACCAGCATGTTAAATGTGCAACCAGAGGGAAAAAAACTCTAGACCACCTTTACTCCACACACAGAGACGCATACAAAGCTCTCCCTCGCCCTCCATTTGGCAAATCTGACCATAACTCTATCCTCCTGATTCCTGCTTACAAGCAGAAACTAAAGCAGGAAGCACCAGTGACTCGGTCAATAAAAAAGTGGTCAGATGACGCCGATGCTTAGCTACAGGACTGTTTTGCTAGCAGACTGGAACATGTTCTGGGATTCTTCAGATAGCATTGAGGAGTATACCACATCAGTCACTGGCTTCATCAATAAGTGCATCGATGATGTCATCCCCACAGTGACCGTACGTACATACCCAACCAGAAGCCATGGATTACAGGAAACATCCGCACTGAGCTAAAGGGTAGAGCTGCCGCTTTCAAGAAGCGGGACTCTAACCCGGACGCTTATAAGAAATCCCGCTATGCCCTCCGACGAACCATCAAACAGGCAAAGAGTCAATACAGGACTAAGATTGAATCGTACTACACCGGCTCTGACGCTCGTCGGATGTGGCAGGGCTTGAAAACTATTACAGACTACAAAGGGAAGCACAGCCGCGAGCTTCCCATTGACACAAGCCTACCAGACGAGCTAAACCACTTCTATGCTCGCTTTGAGGCAAGCAACACTGAAGCATGCATGAGAGCACCAGCTGTTCCAGATGACTATGTGATCACGTTCTCCGTAGCCGATGTGAGTAAGACTTTTAAGCAGGTCAACATTCACTAGGC